TCAGAAAAATCATTTTGCAAACTATTTACTACTAATGTAATTGGGCACGGACCCGCATGGTCAAATCCCAAGTACTTGCCAACGTGGGGGAGCGAATTAATCTCTCGATGTCAGTTTGCGTTTTGGAAGCGCGCGATAAGTAATTCTGTGATCCTTTGCTCGAATCCACTTAGGCGTGCGTCCTACTTTCTGTCACGCCTGTCGGCGGTACACGCATGCTCCGTGAAGAGTAATCAGTTCCTGAAATTACTGTTCAGTGCATTGGGGATGTTTGTAGCACGACTCTGTTGGATTTTTTCTAAAAACGACGACGATGACCTGCCCACGAATATGACATCCGTTTTACCGCACCTGTGGCCCTATTTTCTTATATTGCGTTCACGGTACTGTGGTTTTGAGGCCGGAAATTCTGACCCTGTTATGCGCTCATCTGCGCAAAAAAAATGTAAAAAGCCAGTTGAAACACTTCTCATCTGTAAAAAACTCTCTAAGTTAAAGAGAAGTGCCGAGGACCCTCTGTTGAAACGTGAGAGTCTAGCCCTAAGACAGGTTTCGTTCCTGTTGCTATCAGGAGTAAATGGAACTCGTTCACCCGCTAGAGCTTCACCCTCAGACATTCGAACATTAGCATTTTATTAGGATGTCCTGAAAGTTCTCAGCGTTTTGTGTTACTATTTTTTGTACATTCATTGCTGATTAAAAACTCATTCTCCCTTGCGTCTCAGTAGTACATCCTGAAGAGAATTTTTGCGCTATCTGATGGTATAATTGCCGTTCCAGCCATTTGGCTCAGAATAAACCGCCTTTTCCCAAGAATCTGCGCGATGTTAAAAGAGAAACTTCGGGCGACTATTTTTCGTTCAACTGACAATTGCGGGTCAATCGCAGGCGAGACAAGCGTCACAAACTGAAGCAGCCGTGTGGGGCCCAGTGCTAAGAAAGCAGGTGTGCGGCAGATGTGTTGCAACAAATTTTTCGCTCTTGGCGAGATTTTCAGCTTGACAGATTAACTCGCATATGCGTCGACGTAAGAGCAATACCTGCGAGGACAAGTTGACTAGGCGTTGTGGAAGGGAGCCCATCCCAAGAAGCAGATTTGAGACATGCACAGAAAAGTAGCGGTTGGCAAATCCACGTTGTGCGGATGGTGCTGAAAAACGTGATGCGGGAAGGTGAAAAAAAACGTCGAGTGGCGCGAGCAATTTGAGCGACTTGGCAAAATTGACAACGTCTGGCAGGTTTGTTCACTTGCTGTTTGGCGCAACAGAAACGGATTCCCGTTTTCAGGACGAATTGCCAGCTTTTGGGTGAAAAGTGATTCAATTATCGATAACAGGAGACAGCTTGCCGGACCAGTGGTGGGATGCGATTAAACCAATCGATGCAATTCTAAAACCGAATCCTCACGAAAAAAAAAAAAGATTACGGTCACAGTGTGGTGGTCATCGGCTGGTGTGATCCACTACAACTTTTTGTCACCAGGTCAAACCATCACAGCAGAGTCCTACTGTGGAGAAATCGACGAAATGTACCGAAAATTGCGTCAGCTGCAGCCAGCTTGTTGTTCAGACAGAGAGGGGCCGACTTTCTTTGGCGATCGACGAACGCCCGCCCACCGTTTCACAAATACACTATCCAGTAAATTCGAACGGAATTGGGGGTTGTAGAGTTCTACTCACGGCTATTTTCCAGACCTTGTCACCAGACGTGGCTGGGTCACCTTTCCAGACATTTTTCAGAACTTCCTTGCTGGAAAATACTTCATCAATCGGACCAGGCAAAAAAAGCCTTCGTGGATTTCGTGAACTCTCGACCACCCAGTTTTTTACTTTGATGGGATTTCTCGACTGCTGTCACATTGGCAAAAGTGTGCTGATTCGAATGGTGCTTATTTCGATTAAATCCGATGAGTTAAGAAAGTTATGATCGTTCAAAGTGAAACACTCAAAACGCTGAGAACTTTCTGGACCTAATATTAGGGCTCACTATATATTAGGTCATCCATTCAAGAATGCCCGTGCCGGTTGTTCTTTTTTGAATAAAACAAAGAGGAGAATAGATAAAAAAGTGATATTTTAGCTTCAAGTTGAGTAAATCCCTCCTTCACCAATGACCCGCTCCCAGTGCCCCGAAAGCCTTTGGACCTCTGGTACCTTCGATTTTTCAACAAGTGCGAGTAAATTGCTGTTGATGCCAATTTCGGCGAATGACAAAACATTGTAGCGTTTGCCGTCGGAGAGTACTCTCGACTGACGAGAACAATTGGAATCGCTCGGCTTTGGGGCGAATGGGGCGATTGAACCCAGGTCTCAGTATTGTTTGTGTCCCAGCACTGCCCTACAATACAGTTACTCGGGGTCTGGCACTATGACGAGCAACGGTGGCCTTGTTGTGTGGTATCATCCATTTGTCGATCTGATTGCCGAGGAACAGGCAATATACACCGACAGCTACGATTTTCTCTGTATAGAGCCGCCTGAAAGCCACAGTGTGGGAATCCTTCGCTATGATGATCATCCACTTGCGCCCACGTAACTCCTCATGGTAGAACTCGGGCGGCTTCTCATCTGCATTCATACAAAATTGACGATTGTGAGTTTTGGCTCGAGGTCCAAGACCACCCATATTTCATCTAGGGCCGGGGTGCGTTTTCACAGTCGTGAATGACATCTCATGCTGAGAACATTACTGCTAGAGGTACAGAATAGGTACTGCGTTCATGCTTCACAAGAAAATTAGGTACCCATGCGCACACCCTCTTGACCATCCTCAGTTTATCGGACATAACTCGGGCAGCAGTTGCAGCTGGGATGTCGGAAAGGTCCAGGCTCTGTGATCAGACATTCAGCGCTTGACTTCATCCACCCTTTTTTCTTGTGCAGGATGAACATTATGGGACCATCCACGACAACAAATTTTTTCCTTTCTTCCTTCTTCGGGCTCCTGAACCAAACCTTCCACCTTGTATATCGAGAACACCATTACACACAACTACTGGTCCGGCGCCGGTCGAATTTGAGCAGCGCACTTCCCTCTTATGACGTCTGATTTGAAAATCGGGCGCTGATTTTCACCACTCGGGCTTCTTTTCAATTTCTCGAGAACTTCCTCTGTGGGTAGGTTCGCCAAATTTCACAGATACACAGCTAAAGGTACTAGCCTCCAAATGGTATAGTAGCCCGCTTCCCTATCCCCTTTGCTTTTCTGCCATTCCTTTATATGTCACGGCACTTTTGAATGGGATGACCTAATAGTTGTAATGAGTATTAAAGGATGCAGAGACGCACTTCGGTTCATTATTGTCACTATGCCTTTCTGTCACGCCCCATCAGTGGTCCCATTCTAACACATATACGTTTTCTTGGAACTATACCCTCACTGTTGCCGTCGCGCTCGTATTTAGGCCCGTGACGCTGCTCTTCTTTTACCCCTTATAAGAATTTATCAGGTATTATTATGTCTTGTCATTTATTGCCACCCATCACCAATACCCATCCCAATCCTATATTTCTTCCTTTTGACCTAGTTCACTTTTGCTGGCACGCACGTGAATCTACGTGGGCCTAAATATCTAATGATCAGTTCCCGTCACTCGCTGTCACTACTTGTCCCACTATGGCTCTGTCACACCCTCATCCATCCTCTACAATCGACTGCTCGTTGTTTCTGTGATGCTGATTAGAAATTGGATGGACTGCCGTTATGGGCAATAATGGCAAATGACGTGCCCTTTTGCCCTTATCAGCTGTTATCAAGCTCGGTCACTACTTGTCATCTATGGATCACTATCACTATCAACAGGCAAGACAAGCCTAGCAAATTATGGAAGGACTTGCAGCGTTTGCGCTTGTTGAGAGGAGTGCACGTACATTTACCCTCGCTCCTCAAATGCTTATCTTTGTGTCTACGTCGAGGTGGATGTATATACTCGAAATCCCTGAGATCGGGTAGGCGTGGCCGCATGTTTCAACTTAACCTGAAGGTGTCTATGCTTCTGGTGAGATATTTTCATCTTGACACAATTGTTGTCGTGTCTCTGTCCAACACAGAACAAGATGACAGTTGTCCCAGACTGGAATATTCCACGAGTAACCAGTTCTGTGCCATGATTAAACACCGCACCCAATAAGCCACTACGATTCAGAATGGGGGTAGAATGCGTGTCGCATCCCAAAAAGGGATCGCTCAGCAGCGAGCTACCGCAAGTCATTGTATAGGCCACATCGCATTCAATAAGCCACTACGATTCTGAATGGAAGTAGAATGCGTGCCGCATCCCAGAAGGGATTGATCAACGGGAAAGACTTCATCCATTTTTACTTCTCTCATGTGCTTTAGTACCGTTAGAAAAACCTGTTGAAAACACACATCCGCAAGTGTATCATCATGACCTACGCAGAAACAGATACATGCTTGTAGAAGGTTCTCTGCTA